TCAGTTACTGATCAGTTAAGCCTCAGAAATTGCATCAAGAAACACGGCTTAGTACTGGAATGTACTGGATATACGTCAGGTTTTTGTGGTTTGGTTTACCATGGTTTACCACTGTTGGAAAAGGGTGCCCGGGCATCCAGCATAGCAAAAACGGTGGGACCACCACACCTTGGTACACCATTCTGCCTCAACTGTGAAGTGGGTTTTTGTGATGTATATGAAGTTAGCCACAAGAATCTCTTAAGTTAGTAATGTTATATCAGTTCTTTCTAGTTTTATGGCATCCATCATGAGACCGGCTCCAAAGCATACCCAGCATCCACGGCTTTCTTTCTATGCCCGGCTCTCGCTGGACAGTTGAAAGAAAAGTGGGAAGATGCCTGAGTGCAGATCCCATACTGGGCCGGGGTTCTCCGATGGGTCGCAGAGAAGTTGATAGCGTTGGGTTTGAGGTGGTAGAATTTGTCATTGGATTTGTTGAAGGGACGAACTTACAGGAACCCCCTTATTTTTCATGGGAGCCATGATTTCCGACATGTCCCCAAAAAATCGTCCCAATGAAACCATTTCTAGGTGGTTTCAAACGGTTTTTTTACGCCGATATGGTGATGAACATCCAACATATCCAACATATCCAGCATGAGATTATTTTGGAGATGAATGGGCAACTCCGAGAGTTGAAATGGACCGACAACGCCAGGGTGTCAAAGCATCTGCCAGAGAAGGGCGCTGCCGGCATGGATTGGGGCCTGATATGGCCTGAATCCCAGTAGATCATGTTCCTTTCCCAGATTGGTACTGGTATATAAAGACCTACAATACTTGGCGATTTTCCGGGCAACTGTTGATACATATTCCAGCACCATGGTGAGCATCTGGGTTTGGATTTCATTTCCAGTTCCAGGTAAATCGCTGCCACTGTTGGGGGAAACCGACTGAGTGGCTGAGGAAGTATGTCCAACACACCTGGGACTACTACCTGTGAATGGGTTGCGGGTCACCGAAAAACCCGTGGATGTCGCAGATTTTTCTCTCCCGACTGTTCCCAGTTCTTCAGTTCCTGGGCTGAAACTGGGTAAATTATGGTAACATGAGTGACCTCACGTCGTGCCCGAAGCCTGGAATCATGGGAAGATTCGGCGAATCATCCCCAAATGGCCCAACGTTGGTGAGTAAAAGGCTGAGCGGCCCCCCAGCGCCACCGCCAGGGCTGCCTTTCCTTTGCTTCTCACGCTGGCTCTAGAGGTGGACGGCGGACGCAGAGGGGGGTGGGTGCGGTGAAAAATCCACGAGTTCTGATGGCTTCGAAAGTCGACGGAAGGCGATTGGTTTGTACTCTGATCGAAGGCAGCAGTGAAGAGCGCACCGGTCTTTACCATCTATAGATTTGGAGGTCATGGTATCGGTAGAACTATGTAGAACTACGTGTGAGAAACACCTGGAAGTTTGAATATGATGTGAAGTCACGCGTAATTCTTGGGGTCCCATTTGCTCACTGTCACCCCTGATGTTCTCCAGATACTCAAGTTTTGAGGCTTCAGCAGATCCTTTCACATACCTCACAATCAAAAAGCATCAAAAAGCACATCCCCAGAAACATATCCCCATTATTCACCATTTATAACCTTATATCCCCATTATTCACCATATTATTTCCCCATTACTCCCCATTATTCCCCATGTATAGATGATTTTCGCCTTATAACCTGCGAAAGCCCCAACGTTTTCCATCACTCCCAGTGGCGTCCCATCGGGGAGCGTCGCTCCGTGACAGCGTGGAAGCTCAACTTCAGTGCTGTGAACGACCCAAAGATGTTTATTATTTACCATTCATACTAATATTCTAATAGTAATATACTATTGTTATGTATTGTTAATAATGTTACTACATTTATAGTATTATTTACTATCATTATTACTACCTTTATGATATTATGAATGTATTGTATTGTATTGTTATTATTATTATACATATATATATACGCGTATTGTTTTATATTTATGTTTGCATTATTATATATTATTCTGGGTTTATAATTCAACTTTGTTTTATTGTTCCATTGATCATTATTCTGATACATTCTCATGGTCTCTGTTGTCGATCATACTTTTTTTCGTTCCGGCCATTGATTCCCATTGGGGTGGTTTGCCACATGCCACATGCCCAAGATGGGGTGCTGAACCTTATGAAACATTCTGGAATATAGGTTGAACACAGCATAAAAAAGAGATGGGTGTGTGAAAAATCAGATTCTGATCAAGGACAGTTGTAATGGGGAAATTATGTTTTGAAGAATGATATTTTGGACTAATTACTCAGCTCATTGTCAGACAAACCGATGTGTCTTCATTTTGGCATTTTGATGCATTTTGGTTATAGGAGAGATACAGTAGTCAATGATGCAGATGAAATAGCAGTGCAATCATCCTCATGGGATCCCCAGATGCATGATATCACATGACATGAGTACACAAACAGACATGATAACTGATAGTCAACAGCAGGGCCATGATGAGGGTTGGCACTCCGGGATGGGCATACTCATGACAAGAGGAGTCCCCGCTGAAGGTGGAATTACCACTCACTACATGATTCGCATGAGGTGTTTTGCCTTCATGCAATGACTGTAGAGACAGAATGGTGGGCCATAGTGCCTTAGACATGGGATACTGATTCAAAATCTGGGTGCCCAAAAGATTGCTAGGTGATTAGTGAAATACAGGGGATTGGTTAGAACCCGCGATGCAAAGTCTCTTTCGTCCTCTTTTGATACCGTGCCTAAGTGTAACAGTTTAAAAGATATCGTTTGGCTCAGCCCGCCAGACGACCTGGAGCCATTTGGGATCGTAGTTGTGCAGTGATGTTTCAAGTTCCATTTTCCAAAGCGTAATGCAGCTTTAGGACACGCAACAAAATTGCAGAAGGCATTGGCAGTGCAATTGGCCTAGCACGAAAGGTATCCTGAAGATGGACTAGCTTGAGTTTATGCCATGGCAAGTTTGTTCTCAGGACAGGATGCCTGAGCGATTTTGAAGCAATTCTATGGCATGGCGTCTTGGCCTCTAGGTTCATTCCAGTGCTTAGGTCTTAGCTCCTTGGATACTGTTCCTGTTGCCTGTCGCCGCGTCTCTCTCATTCAATTCGGGTGAAAAGTTGGCTGTAATACGTTCTTGATTGCGCAGCTGGAGGAGCTCATGCCTCTTGCGTTGGTTGTCTCACCCAGTCGCACTTAACGAGAGCACGTCGGGACCATATATTAGGTAGGAGCAAGTGGCCTGCGCAATGGGTGAAAAATGAGGCATTCATTTTTGTCTTGCAAGTCGGCTTGGGTATGCTTCCTGGCCATGGGTGCTGCGCTACAGGGAGCCAGAAACGGGAAGGAATGACAGGGAAGAAGAATTGAAACACAGTGGTTGGCCCTGTGTGGAAAGATGGACGAGGGTCCAAAGGGCTTACTTCGTGAAGATTGCAAACCAAGGGTGCATCTGCGCAAGCAAGTCGGCGTTGTCGGATTTTATGTTCAGGGCTACCCGACTATACACCCTTGGCCTACTTTGGCCGCAAGTCAAAAAAAGGCGACCTCTTAAATCAACCCTGGAGGTCACATTTTAAATTGAAACGGAAGGAACAGAAAAAAAGAAAACGGGTCGTTCCTGATTCAAATGTTGCCGTCAGCCCTTAGGGTCGAAAGGAGAGATGCCGTGGTTCTTAAATCGAAACGCAATCCGTGCCAAAGTAATTATCGGATATTATCGGAAAGGTCAGCCAGTGCTCTCACATGCGTTGGTGCTTCTGTAGCTAAGAGGGGCAGAACACAAAAGATACTTGCATACTGATTCGGGCTCGGTCTGACTTTAGTTTGCCCAAGCTAGCAGGTTTTAGGCGCGTCATTGATTTCGTGTCATTTCTACGAGCTACATCGCTGCACGTAAAGTTTTGAAAGGACATAGACTTGTTTTCATGTTTTTTGGTTAAAACTTTGCAAAAAATGCGCTTATGCTGTTTGCACTGGCAATTATTCAAAATCGCGGGCCCTAACCAAGTCCATGCGCAAAGCACTTTCCTTCCTGAACCCGTCGGCTGGTGGTAAATTTCGATACGCCCGCATATGAACAGTTCTGTTTATATTTGTTTGCCAAGCAAGGGGTCAATAATTCAAGGGGAGTGGAAACCCCATCAACAATATTCCGCCAAAAGAAAACATCAAACGTTTTCACGTGGCAAACCATGGTGGCCATAGTTTGTTTTGCATCACCACAAACAAAATATGTGGTTACTTCAATTGAAGCCGCATATTTTCTGTTGGGTGACAGCTGATACTTCATTTCATGTAGCAATCATGCGCCTGTTTTTCCATGTCATGTGAACGACCACACACCACCCGGGCACATGGTCCAAATGTATTAACTCCCGTTTGTCCACCACACCTAACATTGATTTTGTCACCCACCTTCCCCCCAAAGTTGCAAATATAGAATTGCAATAACTGCATGATATCTCACACACACATTGAAAAATCATCTATAATCTGTGACCTGCCTCAAGCTTTTTAGCAGTGAATATGCGCGCCGCCACACAAAAGTTTTTACCGTCAATTGCAACCATGTCCAGGATGAACGTTTTGGAGCATTGGGATATCTCCACTCAAACATGGCGTGCCACATGCAAAATTTTATGTTGTTTTTCATGTTTTTTCAAAACGTCCAATCATCCAAAAGTAATCAACTGCCAATTTGCACAACTACCAATTTTTCCCAAACAGTGGTGTCATGTCAAAAACAATTGGGTCGGCACCAAATGATTTCGTTGGTGCCATACATTGGAAATATACATGTTCGTGCACCACGTTATTTTCGCGTGTTTCCAATTTGACACTGACAATAGTGGCATTTCGGACCATTAAATCGTGATTTTCTGGAATTTGTAGCACCCTAGTGAGTATCCACATTGGAAAGGACAAACAAATTCATCGACGCTTGTAGATGCTGGTGCCATGGCCATGTGCACTCCTGCCAGGCTTGAATCCCGTTGCATTGGAATGGATGTGGTGGATGGGTTGGATAGGATTGTGTTTGTTCAAACGCCGAAAAACTCAAGACTTTTGAATTAATATTGAATCCTGGAAAGTGGGATGAAAACAAATGATGCCAACAAACATCGATGACAAGATATGACAACACACCAGACTGCATGTGATTTTTCTGGCGAAATGTTGTCATTGAACATGCCACTGGTTCCTTTCAATCATGTTCATTGGCACATGGTAAGCAATGAGTGGTCAAAGCCACAGGTGTGAAACCAGCCGTGTTGCTTTTTTGGGATAGGATGAGACAACCCTCCCAAAAAAAAGACTCTAGACGTTACTAAATAATAAGGGAACACATGTATATTTGTGTTGTATTTCCACCGTTTTTTTTCTTGAGAGTGTAACGCCACCAGGTCCCCAAACATATCTGTTTTTCAGCGTGTTTTGAATATTTTTATGTTTTTCTACACCTTTGATCATATGAAAGATTAAAGTTCTTGGGAGATGTACTGTTTTTGGTGTGTTCATCCTTAACTCTATGTTTGGCAGCTTGCTTTCTGTAGCTCCATTGGTTTTGATAGGTGGTCTTGGTATACGCATGCCAAAGTTCTTTGCCCAAAAATATCTTGAAAGATAGGATATTCATTGTATCAGTTGGTACTTCATGTATATATTAATGTATAGGTACTACCTAGGTATACAGCTATAGATGGTATATATATATATACATAGCAATATGTATTTGCATTGGACGTCTTTGAGATTGCAGTGCCAGGTCGCCTTTTGGTTGACACGACAGTTCCAGTGGAACTCCTATAGCAAATGGCAGTGCAAATTCCAAGTTGCTGTCCCTGTAATTGCAATGTTTTTCCCCACCTGCCAGGTGAGGGTTGTTAGATTTTATCAGAGCTGTTCTTCCGCCTCCTCCTCCTCCTCCTTCTCCTCCTCCGCCTCCTCCTCTCCTCCTCCTCCAGTTTCTCCTCGACCATGTCTGCATCAACTTCCACGTCCGCTTCCGCCTTGCCAACTCGTCGCCAATCTCTTCGCCAACTTCCGCACGCAGTGGGCACTGCTGGACCTCAACTGCAAGGGTCTGAGCGCACTGGGCACCGCTGGACCTCAACCTGGGACCTTCCGAGCTCAGTAAGCACCGCTGGACCTCAACCTGGGACCCTCCGAGCTCAGTGAGCACCGCTGGACCTCAACCTGGGACCCTCCGAGCTCCGCTGGACCTCAACCTGGGACCCTCCGAGCTCAGTGAGCACCGCTGGACCTCAACGGCCAGGTAGAATGCCAGAAGATATGCCAGATAGAACGCCAGATAGAATGTCAGAAGATATGCCAGAAGATATGCCAGATAAAGTGCCAGAATGTTTGCCAGATAGAATGCCAGAAGATAGACCAGATAGAATGCCAGAAGGTATGCCAGATAGAATGTCAGATAGAATGCCAGAAGGTATGCCAGATAAAGTGCCAGAATGTTTGCCAGATAGAACGCCAGAAGATTTGCCAGATAGAATGCCAGATAGAATGTCAGAAGATATGCCAGATAGAGTGCCAGAAGATATGCCAGAACATATCCCAGAAGATATGCCAGGTAGAATGCCAGAAGATATGCCAGGTAGAATGCCAGAAGATATGCCAGATAAAAGGCTAGAAGATATGCCAGGTAGAATGCCAGATAGAATGTCAGATAGAATGCCAGAAGGTATGCCAGATAAAGTGCCAGAATATTTGCCAGATAGAACGCCAGAAGATTTGCCAGATAGAATGCCAGATAGAATGTCAGAAGATATGCCAGAAGATATGCCAGATAGAGTGCCAGAAGATATGCCAGAACATATTGCAGAAGATATGCCAGGTAGAATGCCAGAAGATATGCCAGAAGATATGCCAGAAGATATGCCAGATAAAATGCCAGAAGATATGTCAGATAGAATGCCAGAAGATTTGCCAGTAACAAGACGTATAGATGTCATGGTGGGGATAACTCGAAGTAAAGTAATTTGCATATTTTACTCTTGATTTGCTCCAACAATGCACAAGCAAGGCAGCCGTTCTATAGATACAATTGTTTGGTAAGGTTGCTTAGGTGTTTCTTTCACATGGTCTTGTGTCCTTTTGGATTACCATGATGAACTTATACTGACATAGCTTAAGTTTTACCCACAGTCATGCTATTATATCTGCAGTGACACAACAAATTACCATGGAATATGCAGGGAAAAACGTTCCTTCTGAAGCAAGGGGGACATGGAAGTGCCCTTGGAATTTGCCAACTCTTGTGATCAACAAGTATTTTAAACAAAGAGCTGTCACTGCATTAAAATCTGGAAGAATACCACTGCGTATGCAAAAACAAACTTGGATGTGTTGACACAACAAACGGCTATGGCATGTGCAAAAAACTATATTGCCCATATCACAAGGAACCCTTTAGATATCAGTACATGTTTGAAGCTGCCATTTCTACTGTACATGTACTGCACACTTGTGACAACGCGCTTGCATACTGGTTAAAACTTATCATACAGTATGTAGATCAGAATTAAGAACAGGAGTGGGTATTGATCAAAGGGATGGAGAAGGGACCCCCTTGAAGCCTTTGAATATAAATGCATGCTGGGAGCTGCTACTTCCTAGTCCCATGTGTTGTGGTGCCATAGTTTTTTTCTGTCAAGTTTTATAAACAACATTCTTAACTCTTTTTGGGTGTTACTCATCCTGTCAAAAAAAAGCGGCCAGACAGTTATGGTAATAGGGTACCTGTGCAATGACATTGCAAATTACTTTGAAATATGCAGGAAAAAACACATATTTTTGGAGAAAGGGTAAGTTGGAGTTGCCCATGCCATTTCTTATGATCAAAGTCAGTGGCAACCAAAGAGTTATTGTTACATTCAATCCTGAAAGAATTCCATTACATATGCAAAGTACATGTGGACCATGTGCATACGTATTGGCATGCGCTACCTATTTACCATCCATATCATAGCTGCATACACTAGTACTAACAAGGAAAATGCAAGCCCACCAATGTCTATATATATATATCTATAATAGTACCTAATTCTAAACACATATGCACCTTGGATGTGTTGATACAGCATATGGCTATGGCATATGCAACATCCATGTTGCCTATATCACAACAAGCTCTTGAGACATCAATATCCATGTGAAGACTGCTATCTATATGGTGTAAATGTATATATATATATATATACATATTGAATATATTGTATACTTGTAGCCAGATTACTATATCATACATGAAACTACTTCCTCACTAAACACAAACAGTACATGATTTTTTCACCATATAAAACATGTTGTGCGTTGCTATTTCCCATTGTGTCATATTTTTGAAATTAAATCAAATGTGTTTCCTTTTTTTTCGGAAGCTGCTTATGCTACGTCATGCAGCTGCTCATGCTACGTCATGCCGTCGTGCTACTTGCCACTTGCTTACTACATAATTTTTGCAAAGTTCTGTCAATATGCCGTCGTATTCTCTAACTTAAAAATAAATTTTTAGGTCCGGCACGATTTCCGGCCAACAAAGACCTCCACAGGGACCCCTCATCAGCCTCCAGGAATTTTATAGGTCCGGCACGATTTCCGACCAACAAAGACCTCCACAGGGACCTCCCAGAAGCCTCCAGGAGAGTCTCGGAGTGGCTGGGTTCAAAAAAAAACATATATATATATATATATACATATTTATTTAGTTTTATTTTTTGTTTTTTTTTTAACCCTCCCTCCAGGAGCTATGTATTACATTTAGTGTTGTTTTTTTTGGTTCCTTTGGCTCCTTTCTTCCCTTTCCTTAGGGATCCCTGTGGCTCTTTGGAAATCTCTGGGAATCTCTAACGATTTTTAGGATCTCTGTCAATCTCTGGAGATCTGGGGATCCCTGGGGATCTCTGCAAATCTGAGAATCACCTAAAGAAGAAAAAGGAGAGAGGAAAAGAACTGAAACGGTTTCCAATGTGCTTAAGCTTCTACATGTTAATCTTTTCATGATATTAAGGAACATTTTCTAATTAAAGGTATATGAGCATAGAAGATCAAACATGATATAGTAGAAACACGGCATTCCCAGAAACGTGGAAAAATGGTGACCTGACAGCGTGCCTTTCTGTTTTTTTTGGGTGGGTGCGAAATAGGATTCGTACCATACCAGGTATTTGTTTTTTTTTATATGTGTGTTGATCCCTTATTATTTTCAGTTTCTCTATGTATATATATATATATTTATGTTTTTCTTGTTTGTGTTATGTGTGTTCTCTGCATTATATGTAGTACCATTAAATATCCTTATCTATATTGGTGTTAATAATAAACCATCTCCAATACTACCATGAAGGGGTGGTAAAACATGTAACAAAAAAAATCTAAATGGGAGGTTTATTGTCGGCATTACCACATTATCTACATATGGGTTTTCCAAGTCATGGGGTAGACCCAAATCATCCAAATCAGACCATGTTAGTTTATGGTGATTTGGGGCACCCCCATGACTAAGGACACCTCCATATTTCAATATCTTACACAATATACATACGTATTTCAATATATATATATACATATTATAGAATATCAAATGACATTATATGACTGTATCTATATTGTCATCCTATGTCAGAAAAAATGTCCGTACCATTATCTATGAAAAACCAACTGACATAGAATGATTGACAATAGTCATTGACATATATGATCACATATTCATATCATGCATTGATATGTGAATAATATATAAGATAATCGTACTTGAACATATATGAACCATAATAATGATACACATTTACTGCCAATATACTGACAGAATATACTGATAAAATATACTCACATATATGATAATGACCATATCTTCTATCACTATCATATGATTATATCAGACACCTATTCTCTGATTACATGACAATAATGACACTATCTTCTGTGTATCGTAGAATATTTGACGGCCAGGCCTTCCAGCTCTGGGCGGCACCGTGCCAGTGGTGCCCAGGTGGCCTGTTGCTGTTGTCGTTCCATGAGACGTCAACCTGCACAACCAAATGGGTATGGGTCAATACCTATAGATACATTTTTAGGGGGATGAACATGCATTTACCAGCTAGTTTGATGTTCACCAGGGGTACAAGGTTTTGACACACTGCCAAATCATCCAAATCGCAGACGCCAAAGTAACCAGCTAGTTTCGCATTTGCCAGTTCTCACCTTGGACAACAAAGTGAGGTAAGCCAGGTAAGCAAAGGTCCCACCATGGTCGAGTGACCAAGCGTTGTCGTTCCACCAGGTGGCCTCGCAGTTGTTGAGCCAAAAGAGGCGCGGGAATGCGGCGCAGTGCCCTTCCACCGCGTTCCGACAACGGCCCGCACAACGGGGAGAGAACGCTGAAAAAACAATGGAAAACAGCCGAGAATGTGGGTTTTTGTTGGACAAACACTTGGGAAAACTGGGAGGTGTTTGTGGGAAAATCCGTTGTAACGATGGAAAATAATGAAAAATCATGGTTGTCCGAAGTCATGGGGGTACCCCTGTGCATCATCCAAGTCATGGATGACCATGACTTTTTGAAACTGGTGACTTGTAGATTTCCCATTTCAAGAATCACCCACATCGGAAAATTAATGAACATCAAAATTTGATGACAATCCATGAAACGCGGGGACAAATTGTTTATGTGGTGCTTGAACCGGAAAATTTTCTACACATAAAGGCATATATAGGCACATATTTGCACCCATAGATAAGGAATATCAACCGTAGAGGATTCGCTGGGGAATCGATGAATCAAGTTGGGATATGGTGATTTGACAATCTCTCAAACAAACAATGAATACAGTAAGAAACACATTTTGATTTTGTTTCATTTTTTGGCACAAGGTCACAAGGGTTGTGAAAACATGGGATTGGTATGAATGAGTACAGATTCAGCAAGGGGATACACCGGGTCCTTTTACCGTGGAAGTCAGGATGGAAAAACCTGTCGGTTTACATGGAAGTCGTTTACGTCCAAGTCCTGGGGAAAAAGTGAAACTGGGCTACCGGGCCAGCAAATGCAGAAAAACTGACCGTGAATCTCTTACATGGAAGTAGCTCATCAGATATGTCAGTCACATATTCATCATGGAAGTGTGAAAACTGAGATTAAAAACCCTTACGTGGAAGTAACTTGAGGGTCCAGACATCAGGTTGGCAACTTCTATGTTAACATGTTCTCCCCTCATGTTGAATACATCCTTCTAGGGCGATCCCTAAAACCCCCAGACTGACCGCCACATCATTTTTTCTTCTTTGCATCTATCTTCTCACCCCTGTCATGTCCGAGCGATTGAGGATGCAACCTTTCGAAATCAATGGTGCCAAATTGGTGCTTATCATGGAAGTGTCAAAACACAACACTGTTTCTTTTTTGGTTGCATCCACCTACTTCAAGTAGCAAATTTCTATGTAAGTTATCCGTTCCAATCGTTGGTTGTTAAAAAATGGAGGCATTCCCAGCTTTATCTTGAAAAATTCAAAATTTCTACGTTAATCAACAAATGCCCAGGATTCCCGGGGAACTCGTGGCAAAAAGAACTAGCCAAAAAAAAAAGGGCTCAGATCCAAAGAACACAAATTTGCAGTTTACCCCCACTCCCCCATTGTAACTAACATGGAAGTAAACCTCCGAATTGTCACTTTAGTTAACGTGGAAGAAAAAAAATGCACATCATTTTTTCTTCTTTGCATCTATCTTCTCACCCCTGTCATGTCCGAGCGATTGAGGATGCAACCTTTCGAAATCAATGGTGCCAAATTGGTGCTTATCATGGAAGTGTCAAAACACAACACTGTTTCTTTTTGGTTGCATCCACCTACTTCAAGTAGCAAATTTCTATGTAAGTTATCCGTTCCAATCGTTGGTTGTTAAAAAATGGGGGCATTCCCAGCTTTATCTTGAAAATTTCAAAATTTCTACGTTAATCAACAAATGCCCAGAATTCCCGGGGAACTCGTGGCAAAAAGAACTAGCCAAAAAAAAAAAGGTTCAGATCCAAAGAACACAAATTTGCAGTTTACCCCCCCGCATTGCAACTAACATGGAAGTAAACCTCCGAATTGTCACTTTAGTTAACGTGGAAGAATTTTTTTTTGGTGCTACGGTAAAAGGAGGGGGAGTAAACAACTAACATACATGGAAACAAAATGCATTGTGTAAACTATTTTCCTGGGTAATTGATGAACAAATTGGATATTGTGCTGTGAAGATATTTCATCAACAGCATATTGATAGTTACTAAAATTTCATAGACTTTCAGGCTTCAACTATCAGGAAATGGTGAACCAAAAAAGCCTGGATATTCAAACAACACAATGGTGCCAGCGAGCGGAGATTGAACCCTTACAGAGGATCACAGAGGTCCGTTGATGGAACCCCATATTATATGGCCCATATTTGTATATGTTACTATATCATATCTAAATAAATAAGTATATAAATAAATATGTACTTATGTATACTATATATACTATATACTATATATACTATATACTATATATACTATATACTATATATACTATATACTATATATACTATATACTATATATACTATATACTATATATACTATATACTATATATATATATATATACGGGCAAATTATAACGACCTCACTGTTCTCCCTCACTGGAATCATGGTTAAGAAGGGGAATCATCCCAAAATGGCCTTAGTTCAGGTTAGTGAATTATTATAATTTGGCCAGATATATGTGCCCGGATCATTTGACAGTTCCTTCCACTGTGTTCCAGCTCCGTCAGGCCCAGACCAACCCAAGCCGCTGTGTTGCTTGGGCAGTTACAGAAGAACGGTAGAGGGCAAAAGAACTGGGACCTGTGATCTTGTTATGAAAATCTTGCAGCCACACACTGTACCATGGCCAAAACAATTGTTTATCTATTCATAATTATTTTCATAATGATATGATTTTTGTTTCTTGATTGGTATTAGAATGTATTAGAATGTTTTAGATATGAAATCATGACTGGGATGGAAGATGGGTTTAATTGGGACGAACATATATCATCATCATGATGAAGAAGATGATGAGGCCGATGATGGGGTGATGGGGATGATGGTGAAGAGCTTTGAGAGCACCCACATGTGTGCCTTGCATTTTGCCTAAAAACCTGGATTAGCTACCTTACATAAATTAGCGAAATGGTTTGATGTGTTCATAGAATTTCGGTCTAACATGGCACAACTACTTTCTTTGGTGAAAAATTAAATATATTGAGAGAGTGAAACATTTTTGCAGAGTTCCTTGTGTCATTCAGCAATCAGGATCTTTAGTGGGGACCAGCTCATGATTTGAAGTCGAGAAAGAGCGTGATTGACTTTCAATCTTGGAAAATCTTATTTTCAGCTTTACCTGTTTTTTTTCATTTCACCAGCGTAGACTTCAAAAAGAAGCCCCCTCAAAAGAATCCCGGAAGCCGGTGCCGGCACCCATCCCGCACGTCGGAGAATCGGAGTTGCAGGTATATTTGAAGCGCAGGGACTCAGGGACTTCACATCTTTTTGCATTACATCAACTTGATGATTGCACCAGATGTTTGGGGGCCCCATTGTTGAGCCATATCCATATTTTCATGCCGTGAACCCAAATGCCATCCGCAAACTCACCATTTTGTGGCTTGGATTGGCAAAGAACCCCCAGTCAAACGGTTTATGGCAGCCAGGATTTAGCATTCATATGAAAGTCAACTGGGATTATCATCCCTTACATATATATATATACATAGACACATATATTTGCCGGTCATATTCCATGACGATCTTATCATCCCAGTAAATATTCCACCACTTGTCACTATATAGTCATGGCCAATTTCCTGGCCCTTTCCGCAGAGGTCTGAGAAAGCCCGGGAACGTCCATCAGGGCCAGTGCTGCTTGGATTTGCAAACTTGGATAGGTGATCTTCTCATTCAAACATATTGAAACATGTTTAAACGAAACATTTAAACACCTCCATTTACAAGGGATTTCCCTATTAAAACCTCCATTTATAGTTGATTTTCCCATGAAACCATATTAAAAGCCTCTATTTTTGTTGGGGATTTCCCAGCCATGTTGGACAACCGCCCGAGGCCGGAAATCCACGTCCATGTCACTGCGGGCAGCAACGCTGCGCTGCAAGGCGAGATCCCCTGACCGCATCATCCAGTCGTTATGGATGACCATGACTTACCCTCTGGTAAACTAACATAACTATGAAAAATCTCCATTTTGAATGGGAAAATCGACTATAAATGGCCATGTTCAATAGCTTTTTGTATGTTTACCAGAGGGTAGTATTGAATGCCATGGTGACGACTGGGATCCACTATATGACTTAAGAAACCTATATACCATTTTGAAGTAGATGGGAAAAGCCGAATCTGAACTTACACGCACCAGGGTTACTAACCGTTACTAACCAGTTTTTCGGTAAATGACCCAATCGGACCCTGGAAACGTGCCCCCGTGCCGCGGCGCCAGCTTTTGGCTTGGCTCCCCTCTGTCAAGTGAGCCTTGGCCAAGATGCCAGGAAGCTATTCTTCGCCATGGGAAAAATTGGATCTTTAAATTGATTTTCCCACGGTTGGGAAATATATGATGGTTGATAAATGATGGTTGACAATGGTTGACAATATGACATGATATCTGATGATTTAATGGTTCACAATGGTTGACATATATCTTGCAATCTGTGTGCAAATGTTCCATTGATTTTCTATTTGGGATGATTTTGGCTAAGTTGAAACCACCAATCATGTGAGTCGTGGGTAGTATGGAAACCATCCTGTCCCAAAAAGGGTCACTTTGATGAAAGACACTCATTTGCGATATCAGGTTATCTATTTTCGAACGAATTAAATTAGATCATATAGCTAATCTAACTGGAGTAAGCCAAGACTTCCCGAATGCGTAGCAAGGGTTCCCGTTTCATTCTGGAGGTTTGGGGGTTGAGGCTGTGTTCGCCAGACGCTGCGCAACCGTCCGCATGCGTTCGCGTGAGGCCCGTATGGCCGTGCCTATGGCGAGTTTTGCAAAAGGGGTCGCTTTTGGAGGTTTCAAGCGTCGCGTAGCCTCGTTTCGCGTGGCAGGCGTGGCACTTCGTGACATTCAGACGTGTTTTGTAACGTGTCGAAAGTCGTTTTGTGTGGCAGGCGCAATACTTTTGCGTCGTTTCCAGAAGATGCGTTGCAGTTTTCATGGCATGCGCAGCACTTTGGGGACCTCCATCGTCATTTTGCGGGGCAGGCGCAGCACTTTAGACTCTTAGACGTATCGTCTTGCTCGTTTTTTTTCGAATCGCATTGTCAGGGCTGGGTCAAGTGGTGACAACGTGCAAATTCCGTGGCAGGCGTGACATTTTGTGAGCTGCGATGAAAATTCGCGGAAGCCTCGCACGGGCTTCGGGTTCGTTAAAAAATTGTAGGAAAACGTCGATTTTGAGATGCAAAGTCTGAAAATTTCAAGACATCTCGCACGAAAGGCTCGTTTTGAGGCTGCCACTGCAACATGTCTCGTCTCGATTCTTTGTTTTTCTTGTGGCCTCGCCGTGTCCATGGGGGAAGCTGCAAAACTTGTCCTTCTTGAGTTTCGACACTTTACTCCTTTACACTTCACACTCCACACTTTACACTTTACACTCCACACTTTTTACTTTACACTTTACACTCCACACTCTACACTCCACACTCTACACTCCACACTTTGCACTTTACACTCCACACTCTACACTCCACACTCCACTCTCTACACTTTACACTTTAGACTTCACACTCCACACTTAACACTCCACACACTACACTTTGCACTCCACGACACTTTTCATTTCACACTTTTTACTCTACACTTAACACTTTACACTCCACACTTTACACTTTACAGTCCACACTCGACACTCCACACTTTACACCTTACACTCTACACTCCACACTTTACATGTGACTCCACACTCTGCACTTTACACTCTACACTCCGCACTTTACACGTTAAACTTTACACTCCACACTTTACATTCACACTCTACATTCCACACTACACTTTACACTCCACAAAATACACTCCACAGTCCACACTCTACACTTTACACTCCACACTGTGCGCTTTACACTTGACACTTGACACTCCACACTCCACACTCTACACTTCACAATTTAAAATTTACACTTTACATTCCACACTCCACACTTTGTACTTTACACTCCACACCTTACTCTACACTTTACACTCCACACTTTACACTTTACACTCCACACTTTACACTCCACACTCTACACTTCACACTCCACACTTTACATTCTACATTCCACACTCTACACTGCACACTCCAGACTTTACACACTTGTTTGCACTTCACACTCCTCACTTCACACTTAACACTTTACACTCCACACTTTACACTCTACACTCCATACTCCACACTTTACACTTCGCACTCCACCCTCTACACTTCACACTTTCCACCTCACACTTAACACTTTACACTTTATGTTCCACCATCCCTTCACACTTTATACACTACATCCCCCACTCAGCACTCCACTTTCACACTCCACACCTCGCATTCCACTCCCTTCCACATTCCACAGTCTACAGTGCACTGGTACGGTAACAGGGGAAAACTGTACAAGACTGAAAATTGTTTAAATAACTTGTTTCTCAAAAGTGTTTTAGTTGCCGCATTCCGGTTCGTGGGCTGCACCTTGTTTTTTTTCTCACAGAAGAAACCGAAAAAAATAAACCCTATGTTAATCTATGTTAGTATATATTATATAATATTATAAAATATTATATATTTTTTGTGAGTTGGTGGATTTACCACGGTGGAAATGAACGATTTCACCACCGAGGAGCCCTGCCAAGCCGGGTTGGACAGCGCTGCCGGGGCACATGCTGAACGGCAATGGATCCAATGGCTTTGGGGCGAGCATGGCCAATGGCCGTTGGTCGGGAAACCTGGTGAAACCTTGTGAAACCTGGATGATGGATGGGTGGAACGTGGAATCGGAAAATCATTCAGGGAGAAACTTTTGGTACATCATGTGCTATCATGTACTGTATGTTCCCTTGATTTTCCATGTTTCTATAGATGGCCCGTCTCCGGTAACCTTTTTTATATGGAACGTTACAGTATGAACGGTATGTCCAGACCCTTCTGACCCATTGAAATCCCGAGGAAATGAATTTTTAAGACTTTAAGAGTCTTTAGGGATGTGTTACTTGATATGTTCGATGTATTTTGATGTTATTGTTGTTTTGTTTTTATATATTATTTACAGTCACATGGTTTCATAATGGAAAAGGTAAAATACTGGATGGTTGAGACCCAAAATGACCAATGATCCACGATACTGAGGGTGGAAGGCACTTTGCAAACGAATGCTCTTGATATTTTCTCTGGTGTGAGACGTCAGGTTTGACTTTCCAATCCCTCTACAAGTGGATCCCTAGATGATTCTCCGGCCAAAATGGTTCTACCATAATCCACTTTTTTCCAACCCGTAGATGATTCTACCTCTCAAAGTGGATTCCTGGATCATTCAGCAGTGATTCACTGAGCTCACAGTAAAATATGTACACTTGGAATCTTAAACATCAGATAACGGGCTCGCAGAATTGATGCTGGAGGGGAATCATCCAACGTTTTGTGTCAGGCTAGGCTTCCATGGCTGGAGAAATGTTGGTTGGGTAGTTCAATATGTTGTGGGTGTTTCCAGAAAAGCCGATACTAGCTATACAATATAGCATACATATTATTTTTATATACATGCATATTATTAAACCCAGCTCAATGCTATACTTATTCCTTGCAACGTATCAAGTCTGAGATGAGTGGTGCCAAATTGAAACGGGATTACAAAAAAAATGACTAGAAGTTTGTGGAATTTAAGCTCCTGGAAGCCACAGAAAAATGGGTGGGCAAAAAAATATGACCCTAGCTCTGGAGTGACCCGGATGTGCACCAGGAATCCTGGAGATCTACCTTGCAGTATATCAACTAATTACCCTCTGGTAAACTAACATGGGGTTACACAAATAAGAATCTCCCACCCTCATGGAACAAGTAGCCATACTATCATAATCATAATCATCATCATCATCATCCTCATCGTCGTCATCGTCATCGTCATCGTCATTGTCGTCATCCTCATCCTCATCTTCATCGTCATCATCATCATCATCATCATCATCATCTTCATCATCATGGTCGTCGTCGTCGTCATCATCATCATCTTCATCATCATGGTCGTCGTCGTCGTCGTCGTCGTCATTGTCGTCATCATCATCATCATGATGTTGGAATGCCCGAACGCTGGGAGTCCGCGCATACTAAAATGGTTTTGCCGTAATTCTAGATATGGAATCTCCAAATATCATGGTGGATTTTCCACTTAGATACAGAAATCCATAGATCTGGAGCCAGTTTTCCATCCCGGATCTTTGGGGAAAGCTTTCCGCACTGAAATTCACGATGCCGCCAAGGGCGCCTCCAGCTGCACTGATGCCACCCAGGTGGAAACCCGGGGGGAGCAAGGGGGGGTTCGCATGAGTTCACCATGAAACGTCGAGGTGATGAAGTTTGCATTGCGGTGAATGGTCTGTTGATGACTTTATTGATTGTTACAAGAGGTTTATGATCGTTATGTAACCGTTATGTGCTTGGGCGATCATCCCAAGTGGTGTCTGGCCAGCAGTTTCCATAGCCTATGGGCTATTGGGAGGTACCGTTTTCATCCATTTTCACAGATGTAATAACACTATTGGAAGGAGAAGCTTCCCGATTCTAAATCAACCATGGGTGAATAAGAATCCGTTGTGATTAAAGTGGATGATTTTGAAGTTATATATATATAATATTATATATATATATGGGTTAGTATTTTTTCCCGTGGTCCTAGATATGTATTGGTGGAAGGTGGCGCTCTTGCGAAGCATACCCCCGAAGCGCACCCCGAAGCATAGCCCCGAAGCATACCCCGAAGCAAACCCCCAAAATGAAGATCATTTTTGAGGGCTTGTTGATGGTTGTTGTTTGGAGATCATGGGTCGCGACACTTGCTTCATGCTGCCTTTAGGCGCCCTTTGCGCCATCCCGCCCTCCATCCCCGCAGTCTGGCTGCCTTATGCAGCCAAGTAGGTTGAAGACAGCTTCGGTGCTGACCGGCCGCTGTAGCTTCATTGTGGCAGCCGATACCGTTTGCATCGACCAGCTTCTGGTGTTGACTGGCCGTTGTAGCTCCTGTCTAGATCTGATACGGTGTGCTGAATAGTGCTCCGCGAATCATACCCGAATCATACCCGAATCACACCCGTTTCATACCTCAAACCTTCAACTTCCAGACCCTGGCACATTTTGAACGCGTGAGTAAGATACCTCACATCCCTGCATAACCCTGAAAATTAATGAAAATAAGACATCCTTGCCCATACCGCCATGGCACCAAAGCTATGGCTTGAACCAACCGCCTGCTGTCAGGAACAAACGTGCTTCCTACAGCCAGCTATGCCTTGAACCAACTATACCTGCTGTCAGAACTAGCCTCGGGCTTCACCTGTACTTGGGAAAGCCAGACTCTGGCCCTTGGCGGTTGATTTAGACCAGAAAACTATACGTGTCTCATATATATATATATATGTGTGTGTGTGCAAGGATATACACAGAGATATATAAAAGGTTGGAAAGTTGTTGGAAGCCTCTTAGATATGAAGTAAGTTCCATGTGATGAAGTTCATGCGAAGCAGACCCCGAAGCATACCCCCGCAGCAAACCCCGAAGCATACCTCCGAAGCATACCCCCTAGACAAACCTTCCAGTGGGGATACGGTATTTCCAGACGAACCCATATATAATATATATATATATATTATGATATTAATATATCTATAATTAAAATATATGGCTGATTTCTGATGATTTGCATGTGCCGGGTAGCAAATACCGCTTCTGTACTGCACCTGCTCCTTCGCTTCGAGCAGTGCTGCTGCATTTGCTCCGCAAGTAACAAGTAATGTGATGAATTGGGTTCTCATTGCTATTTTTAGACCTACTTGTACTATCTTGTACTGGGGTTAAGGCTGTTAAGGGTTTTTGTTTGGAATGTTTTAGATGGATTTAGATTGCGTCATTCCATGTTATCCCAATTTCCATCATATTCAAGTACACCAGAACGTTCAACATATTGTTTGCCCCCAGATTTACTATTCTCCAGCAGCAACATCACGCACGCGCAGGCCTAGAGTTGTCTCTTGGCGAAACTTGATGGGGGGTCATGGGGCAACCAACTGCCTATCCATCTGTCCCCTGAACTGTCAGAGAATTGAAGATCAGATAGATATAGATAGATTATCTAATTTTCTCCTTTGAATGGCAATAATGAAGTTGGATGGTTCCCTTCATTTCCGACAAGCTCATCTGATTTTGTGCCCATTTTCTGAAAACGTGGGGGGAATCTGGTGATTGCATCGATGGGGCAACGGGATGCAAAGGGGAAACGGATCCAGAAATTCTGCACCGAAATGGGGATGTTCTGGAAATGTTGGGATTCCAAATTCCAAAAGTTACCCTCTGGTAATTTAACATAGCTATTGGAAATGGCCATTTATAGTGGATTTTCCCGTTAAAAATGGTGATTTTCCATAGTTATGTTAGTTTACCAGAGGGTAGGCGTCATTCTGCTTGGGAACACGGATCTAGATATGATCTGATGATCTGTGGATCACCAGCCCTGGTTCAAGGAAATCTTGCGCCACCGCGTAGCTCGAAAGTCTGCCACCTCGCGAGCCTCCCCCCGTGTGTGCAGAGCCATGTCGGTGCAGAAAACCTACATGAAGCCATGGGTAGAATCTTTATGAAGCCTCTGGTGCAGTCACGAGGCCAGCATGCGGAACTTTACATCAACATTGGCGCCTCATTTCTTGACTGGCTCTGTGATATTGTGGGATTTTTTCTTTGCATTTTTTGGGGTGGGACGGTAGTGTAGGACGTTCAACTGCCATTAATATCCCATGAATATCCCATGAAGATCCCATTAAAATCCCATTAATATCCCATTAAATATCCCATGAAAATCCCGTTAAAATGCTAAGAAGTAAGGCTAGCGGATTTGCACCCTTCTTTCACGTGAGTCACGGTCCATTTGGTTGAAGACCACTGTAGGTCCCCTTCCAAAAGCGATAATGGTATTGGCACAAAACACTAGAAAGCGATATGGGCCCCCTGAAAGAACCATGACAGTAGTAATAGTGTAGTAATCAGATGTAAATTAAAGGGTTGTAAAGGATTTTGACCGGAGCTCATGTGTTTCCAAGGGATTTGGCAGTGCAGACCAGGTTGGAACACTTCTGGCAATCAACTTTTCCCCGCCTACGATGCTCGACTGGCACTTGCATGCTCTGAGGAGCAATACAATGATCTCATGAATGCCCTGAGAGAATACATGGCGAAGAACTCCTTTAATCTCTGTTGTTGTCTTTGTGCCATGATTATGGCCCCCTACACCCTCTGCATTAGCTGCTGCATCGCGCATGCTTGCACGTCGAATTACACGAACAATTTGGCTCAGATCGCCAAAGAGAAGACCAAAGGCTTTTCGTACCCAGCGCGCGTTGAGCTGATGCAGGTGGGAGGACGTGCGGCCATGGTGCCTGACCAGATGGCTTATGATCAATATGGTCAGCCCCTGATCGTCACTGGTAAGCATGGCAGTCATCCCCAATGGCCTCCTTTGGGCTACAACGTGATCCTCATTTTGCCCATGAAACTCGTCGAAACGCTAAATCAACTATTGGATTTAGGGAATCTGTTGGGAAAGAGTCATGTGAACATTGTATAAATAACCCCCCTCAAACATACTTATCTCATCTCATCTCTACAATAGAGCTGAGGCCAAGCCAAACATACTTCTTGGATCTTCTTGGGACCTTGGACATTTAGTATTGCCAAACACAGTTATATCTTACCCTGTTGTTATTTAACATAGCCATGGAAAATGGCCCATTTATAGATGGTTTACCTATTAAAAATGGTGATTTTCCATGGCTATGTTAAATAACCAGATGGTATTTCTTTGGGACCCCTTCAGCAAATCGCTCAGGAAGGCAGAGGAATTCGCTCAGCAATGGATCCCATCCACGCAGCCAATGATGATCGGCATGCCACAGCAAGTGATGCAGCCGCAAAGTATACCCGTGGCACAAGCTGTGGTCGTCCAAAGTCCCCAGACACCGCAGCAGGAAGCCATGAATCTGGCATGAATGCCGAAGCGTCTCATCAAAGATGGACTTGCTTCAAAGGCAAGAATTTCAGGTTTGTCTGAAGATTTAGAATTCCGTTCTTGTGTATGTTTCATCTGAAATTGCCATTTCGACGCATCCCCCATTTTGAGACATCTATTCATCCATTCCTCGTTGTGCTGACAAGTCAATCACGACTTTTTCACTTCCCAAATCACAAGAAGTTTGGCACTGCAAAGCGAAAAACCAAAAAGTGCGAGTCCCATGCTGGTGAAGTCGGGCAGGAGAGCCGAGAGCCTCTATGGCTGCGTCGTTTAATGGGAATCGCCAAGACCAATGGTGATTTGTCACATATTTTCTTCAGCAACAAAATGTTCATATAATGTCAAATATATATATATATATATGTCCATATATATATATATATATTATTATATTTATAATATATATATATATATATATATTACATTTATAATATATATATATAATATATACTAACCAGGTTATGTACATTATATATAATATATTTAGTATAATATATTAATATATTATGTGTATATATATATATTATATTATATTATATATATGCGATATATTATATATTATATATATACTATATATATATAATATATATAATATATATATATATATATATTATATATATAATATATATTATATATATATTATATATATATTATATATATATATTATTTATATTATATATATATTATATATATTATATATATTATATATTTTATATATATTATATATTGTATATATATATTATATATATATTATTTTATATATATTATATATATATATTATATATTATATATTATATATATTATATTATATATATTATATATATTATATATATATTATATTTATATAATATATTATATATTATATATATTATATTATATATATTATATATTATATATATTATATATATATTATATATTATATATATTATATATATATTATATTTATATAATAGATTATATTATATATATATTATATTATATATATATTATACATTATATATATATATATATTGAGTATAGTGGGTATGATTGTGTATGCATGGACCTACACTCCGTCCCGTAATATTAATTTGTCTCTATATGGTCGCCTAAGAATGAGAGATCCAAGATTAACCAGGCGGGTTTCTATGGGGTATTCAATATTAGTATAGGGGGCAGGGATTACACGCAATATAGTTATATATATACACACATAATCCTGTAGATAGAATCTGGAAATGTCATTCAGAATCCTCACTTATTTTCCAGGTTTTATAAATAAAAAACTTGCAGATTCTATGATACTATGATATTCTCTCTACTCCAGTATGACTATAGACATCGCAAATAACTAGTAACTTATAGTAATTCACTACAAGTACAGATATAAAATGATAATCTTACTACAGATAGTAATTCACTATAGATATAGGATCACTAGTAATTCATAGTAATTCACTCATATTCACTATAGATATACCATTTGGTTGTTTAACATAGCCATGGAAAATCACCATTTTTAATAGGTAAACCATCTATAAATGGGTCATTTCCCATGGCTATGTTAAATAACCAGAGGGGAATGACTATAGATATACCACTTTCTTTCAAAGGACCCTTTGCCCGCTGGTCAGGTGCCCAACACTCGGGCGAAATGGATCGAAGTGGTCGAGGATGTCACTTGATTCATTTGACGAAAAGTGTCGAGTGCTGGTGAAGTCGATGCTTCATCAACGGGTATCTAAAGTAACCATCGACTTAATGATGATGTATAATGATACAAGATTGTATGATGATATGTTTATAATATTTTATAAGATCTATGATATGTATAATGATCATTGGTTCATTATTTTTTGATTATAGTGATGACAATGATGTATGATGATATGTTTATAAGATCTATGATGTTAATATATGATAATTATGTTTTTGAAACTTGGAGATTATGTTTAATTTACATGGTATACTTAGTATACTTGTGGTTGATCAGTTGGGGGATATAAACTGTATAAACCAAAAACATGAGACTTATAACCAGTTGTATGGTAGAAAACAAATGGAACTGACGTATACATGTATATATATATATGATTAAGTTGAATTATAGCTAACTTGATGCAAAAAAAACTTGGTGAATTATATCGGGTGTGGGGGCGATAACTATGGTATACATTGGTATACTATATCAGTTGAAAGGGGGTTATAGATAAACTTCACAAATACAGATCATCCCGCGAATAGTAGCTGGCTAGGAGCCCTGGTGATCGTAAGTTCCCAGTGGGTTGTCCCATCTATTGTATAAACCAAAATTTGGGGATGCTCCATGGGTAAAACGATGTAAAACCATGAAAGCCCCCCAGCCAAATAGCATTGAACCAAGATGCTTGGGCGGTTTTCATGTTCCCATGAATCTCCGCCAGGCGTGTTTTGGTTGAATTCATTGGAAAGGTTGAGAAATATATCGAAATATCATGAAATATGTTTTTGTATGTTTTTGTTGATCCCTAATTTGGTTTCTGGCCGCTTCTTTAGTTTCAGATCCGTACTTCCAAGTCAGGCGTTGGCACAAAGCTCCTTGATGTTTTTTTTTTACGATCACTCTCTTGATGCTCGATGTGTTCCACGATGTTTTCTGCTGTTGATATGTGCGATATACTATTGAACTATCCCAAGTTTGGCAGCATTGCTTACGTCCCCATGTTTGGCTGATTGTGTCCGCATTTTTCCTGCTTTACTGCCCATGCTACATCAAGTTGAATCCCATGTTTGTGTTGATATTTGGTACCCCGAACAACACCATGTAGTTTTGTTGAACTCAAGATTGCATAAAATTGCCAGAATTGTGGTTCCCATGACATTTGGATCATTTGGCAGTCATGTTCGTCGGCCAAAAGGTGCGTTTTTGTTGTCAAAAGCGGCCTATAATGGCAACCTGGATGGTAGGAACCAACAAATCAACAATAAGCCTCCAACCAGCTGGGAGACGGGTGTCCATTTACTTGCAAAGAGTAAATTGCAGTATTTGAGCACTGAAGATTGTTGATCAAACCCGGATCGGGGTATTTATATCCACCATTTTTGCCGGTCAAACTCAAGTTTCTGTTGATTGACATCCCAATTTTGGTTGATGAGATCCCCCTTGTAGTCAAGTCTCAATCTCTTCCTGATGAATTCACCATTTTTGTTGATTATATAACTTTCCCAAATTTTCTTTGTTAAACTCTTTGATTTTGGTTCTACCTGATTTTTGCTGATCACCATCCGAATTGAATCCCATTTTGGTTAATCAACTCCTCAGGGTTTCTCTGCAAATAAGACATCCGCATTTGACGCATGACAACCACCATTTGAAGGGTGTCCAATATTCATTGTTGTCATTTGTTGGCTAGTTACATCCAAAACTTATCTCGTTGTATATCATATCACCATTTGTTTATGGATGATTTTCCCAAATGTTTGGTTGGAACTCGAACAATGATATGACAATGACAATCCCCATTTGTAGAAGATTGTCGTAAATTATATCCCATTATAAACCCTATCAAACCCCATGCATCTCATGAACACATCCTAATCCGAATTTCTAAATGGCTAAATCCCAGTTTTCATTGCTTAATCCCCATCCATGGTTCCAAATCGTAAACCCATTTTATCCCCAACATATACCATTCAAAACCCAACAAAACCCTATGAACCCCCATCCTTTACCCTCTGGTAAACGTTTACATCGCTATAGAAAATCACAATGTTTAATATAGGTAAACCATGGTAAACCATCTATTTCTATGGGCCATTTTCAATAGCTATGTTAGTTTACCAGAGGGTACCATTGAAGTACCCTCTGGTAAACTAACACCACTATGGAAAAACACAATTTTTAATGGGAAAAATCCACTATAAATAGCCATTTTCAATAGCTATGTTAAATTGCCAGAGGGTATCATTTTGGGCCCCTTGGGCATCTGCTCAGTGCGACTTGGTGCAGCACGGCTTCCCCTCTATGGCTCCGGCTCTGGAGTTTGATGAGGGGTCGGCTCCCAGGGATGCCGGGGGGGCCCTATTGGAACCAGAAAAAGCATCAAAAAGATGCCGAACAGGTTTACCCTCTGGTTATTTAACACAATAACTATGGAAAATCCATTATAAATGGAGGTTTATAGCTGGGAAAATCATCTGTAAATGGGCCATTTTCCATAGCTATGTTAAATAAACAGATGGTAATGTTCATTAATTTTCCACTATTTCAGGTGCCGAATCACTTCAACGTGCATTTGAAAATGGGGATGACGAGATGGGAAACCATCTATCAATGGGGGTATTCATGGGGATATCACCAATATGGGCCATATGGGAATGGGAATATAATCCGATATCATGGGATATATCGACAATTTGATATGATATTTGGGATTGTTTGAAAATTGTATAATAGGGACAATTGCGACAAACAACCGAATTTAGGGGTGAACTATTTTCAGCCAAGCATAAAATGGGAATACAGTGGGAATGTGGAGAAAATAATATGGAGAAAATAATATATATTATATTATATACAGAATCCAGAACCATAGTATTTAACCGTCAAAAATGAGGGATTCGCAATTTATGAAACCAACCGTAAAATTGGCAATGAGGTAGCTCAACAATGAGCCATCCAACAAATGAATCAAACATATAGTGATAGAAAATCACAGGCTTATGTAAATGGCTTGATTTAGAACTACTTACTTAGAGGAACATCAAGAGGATTTGCTTCTGTGAATGTTGCCATCATCTTTTTCTGGGCTTTTGATACTAGAACTGACTAGAAAGGTGGCATGTGACGTTTAATTCCAGAAGGGCAATCGGTTTGTCTCAAGATAGGGTACCACTCGGTACCACCAAATTTGATATAATTTGATTATCATCATAACTGCAAGTATCTAGCGTGTGAAAATGGCGGTTTTCGCGGTGAATTCCCAATTTTTAGGCAACCCTAGATGCCTGGCAATCATC